GTCAATGCCTGAGAAAGTCTGAAGGGAGAATACTGCACAGCAATGAGTCCTAATAGGGTATTGTTACCCCAGGGTAGTTCTAATTTCTTCAAGAAGGTTTAGGAAACTTGTCTTATGAAAATGTAATTTCAATTCTATATAAAGTGAAAGACACTCAGACACAGAAATATACATACACACAAATTTATGCACAATTACCTAGAAATACAGCTATATCTCGGGTAGCATTTTATCCTATGTTTCACCCTGGTCCTTTTGCTTACCTTTACCATGATTATTTGCCCTACCAAATTGTTTATGTTCAAAAACCTCTGCCTACTTTGAGGCAAAGATAATATACTTTTACCTCTGCATCTTTTGCATCTAACATGATTCTGGGCAGAGAGTAATAAATGCCTTTTTGAATTATTTACAAGGGGAGATATAAATGTTATAAAGTAGAGTGCTATAACTTTAAAATGGCTAGAAATCTGCTCTAAACAGTGTTATTAAAGGTTTAGGCTTCTAGAGAATTTTTTAATAGCTTTGAATTTTTTTTTAAGATTTTTATTTATCTGAGAGACAGAAAGAAATAAAGTGAATGAGAAGAGAGGGGAGGGGCAGAGGGAGAGGGAGAAGCAGACTCCCTGCTGAGGGGGGAGCCAAACTCAGGGCTTGATCCCAGGACCCTGAGATTATGACCTAAGATGAAGGCAGATGCTTAACCAACTTAGCCACCCACATGCCCCAACAGCTTTGGCATTTTAAAAGGTATCATAAACTTTTCCTTCCTCTCTGCTAACTTCGGACTTTTTCTCCTATATATTTCTGTATATAACATTTTATTTTTCATTAAACAAATATTTATTGATTGTCTATTCTGTCCTGGGTTCTGCTGCTTAGCAGAAAGACTATGCAGTGAAGTTAGACATACCCCTAAAGATCTAGAACATATTGTATTTAAAGAATCTATGCATTACTGAGGTGATTCTTATTTCTAAAGATATAGAATATATAGAGAAGAATAATAAATAATGTAACAAACGTGTATATCTATCTGTGTTCACATATCTGATTTTCCTATTAGACTGTTTTTTGAGGGCAGTGATGTTTTCTTCATCTTGTATCTTGTATGTCTAATGTAGAACTTGGCACATATTGGGCACTCAATGCTTATTAAAAAGATGATTCAGCAAAAAAACATGGCACAGCTTGAAGATTTATTTTTGTTTAATACCATGTCCTCTTCCCACATTTCCTTTAATGTATCTAAAATAATCATGAAACTATGAAACTAACCTTTTCTGTTACACTGTGACATTCCCAATTAATGTCTCATATTGGATATTCACTTTTTTATCTGACTCAAATGCATCTTTTGACTACTCAGAAACTTGTACTTACTGCTCTGTTCGCACTTCGTTGTCTGACTCTAAAATGTCTGTTGGTCCTTGTGTTTTCTCATTAAACTGCACTGATAACCTGGGAAGCAGAAGGGAATGTGTGCTAGGCAAGGGATTTCGAGAATGATGTGCTTTCCTCCATCAACAAAGAGATTTAGCAAACTGTTAAAGCAGGAGGAAGACAAGACCATTTCAGTTAACTTTTCTAGAATTGACTTCAGGTCCTGCTAAAGTAGCTTTTTGACCTTCTCACACTTTGTACTACCTTTAGGAAAGAGAGAAAATGAGACAGGGAGGGAAGGAGAAAGTGAGGGAGACAGAAGGGCACCATGTGGAAATAAGGCCATCTACATTTCCTACTGAATGGAAAGGAATCTCCAAATTAATCTGCTGATGATATCAGCAGGCAGGCAGGAATGTAACACTGAGATATGAACCTAAAATGGACATTGATTTTCTCTTTTTGATGAATTATAAATGAACAGTGATAAATAATACTTACTAGAACAGTTAAAACCAAAACCAAACATCTCTATCTCTGTTAACAGTTAGATAGAGGTGATATGCCCCGAGTCTGCAAAGGTATAAACTAGCACTTTTCTTCTGAAGGGCAATTTGGCAATATATATCAAAAACGCTTAGTTTTAAAAAATACTCTAGCTCAACAATTTCAGGAATTTATCTACAAAATATTACAATAAGAAAATTCACTGTACTACTTTGTAAAATAGCAAACAACTGCAAACAATCTATGCCTACACATAGGGAATTTGTTAAAAGTTGACAGATCCTTATGAAGGAATATTCAAGTATTCCCTAAGTATAATAAAATGACTTCTGGAGATTTTTTCTTCATAAGGATTTATCAACCTTTGGCAAAGAGGAAAATAAATCAGCTGTTATTTTTGGTTGCAGAATTCTTTTTATCCTCAAATGATATCTAGTTACAACCTAAATTTAAAAAGAAAAAACAAGAACAACAACAAAGATGCTTTTTTGAAAGTGAGGGTGGGGAACCTGGAACTTATCCTACTCCTAGGAACTTTATGGCTTCAAGGAACATTTTGTAAACCACTACTCTTCAGGGACATTTACTGTGGAAAAAAGAATCAAGATTATAAAATGACTACATTTTTGTAAGAAGAAATTATACATATGTTTATATATTATACAATGAAGAATGGTTAGAAAGATATGCATCAAATGCAAACAGTGCTTATCTTTGAGTAGTAGGTTTATACGGGATTTGTACTTTTTTATTGCTTGTATGCTTTTTTCCTTAGATCTTCTATGATGAGCATGTATTTTCAGTATAAGGAAAATAATATTAGTTATTTTTAAAATTAACCTTTAAAGTTGGATTCTTCTGTACAATAAGTTTTCAATATCTCTTTATTTAAATTGGTATTTTAAAGAATTAACAATTCTTGAGGCGCTTGCTTAGTTGGAGAAAGATGCCATTCATCTGACAATCAAGGCATTATTAAAATCCAAGTAAATGGTCTCTTATTAGCAAGTTTATCCGTATCCTTATTAGATTTTCCCTATGCTATGCTGTGGGTACCTACCTCCCTATGCTCTGATATCTGGGTCTTTTCACATGTTGTTCAATTTCTGAGAAATGTCCATCCCCCAATCTTCAAATGACTATTCCATCATTCTCAGTTTTCTATCTCAGGAGATAACTTCACAGGTTTTCCCTAACTATGCTATGCATTCTCAATCATTGCACTATTTCTCTCCTAGCACTTAACACAATTTGAATTATATATTTGTTTACTTATTACTTGTCTTACCAACAAAACTGAAGGCAGAGACTATGTCTATTACTTGCAACAATGCCGGAATATGTAGCAATTGGTCAAAAATATTTATTGACTGACTGACCAAATGTTTGACAAAATTTGAATTTGGAGACTCATGGAAACTCAACTAGTTTAAAAAAAAAAAAAACTTTCTCAGGGGCACCTGGGTGGCTCAGTGGTTGAGCATCTGTCTTTGGCTCAGGTCATGATCCTAGGTTTCTGGGGTGGGGTCCTGGGATTGAGTCCTGCATTAAGGCTCACTGCAGGGAGCCTTCTTTACCCTCTGCCTATGTCTCTGCCTCTCATGAAGAAATAAATAAATCTTAAAAAAAAAAAAAACCCACAAAAACCTTTCTCATACTCTTGCCTAAATGGGTTGGCAGGATCCTGTATTCAGTACTGTTTAAATTCCTGGTGACTTCAGTAGTAATAGCCCAGAGTCACAATAACTGGGCACATTTTATAATGGCTTTATTTACTGATCCACAACTCAAAAGAAGCTCTCAGTCCGCTGAGCTGCCTACTTCAGGATTACTGATCCTTTCTCATGTATCTTTTGGAGAATAAACTTTCTATAACCCAGAATGAGTAATTGCTGCTTCAACATCTTCTAAGGCTTCTTCCAGCCCTGCTATTAGACTAATGAAGGCTAATCTCAATTTACTGATACATATTACATGTCATTCTATACATATACTGATGTGAAGCCATTGAACTATAAACCCTTTTGGTCAGGAATCTGAACAGTGTGAGCTACTATTTTCGGCACAATTTAAATAACAGGGGCTCCAATAATGGCAAACCAACAGATTCAGAAGAGCTCTTGCAACTAAATAGAGAACTTAAAAACACCAAAACAAACTGTGTAAGAAAAATAACCATAGAAGGTACCAAATAAGCATAGAGACATAATATTTTAAATACTTCCAAATATTTGGTTTCAAAGCATAAATGGAGCATGTGGGCTTTCCACATCTTTTCCTGCCAAGTCTCAGGAAAAACTGACCGTACTACAGTCATCTAAAACAGCTGTTAGGACTGATCTTCAAATATTTGGTTTCAAATATAGACCTATTTGCACTTTAAAACTCAGATGCCTGCATACTCTCACTATAGCACTGCACTTAGATAATCCTTTCAAAGTAGGCTGCTGTCAAAAACAGATCTGTATTCATGGTGAGCACTCTTTCAAATGGACAGAGCAAAATGTTAGTCTAAGTCCTCAAGTCAATTGTCAGAAAAGATAATTTATTTACTCTGGCATCAAAATACTTCATTCATTCATTCATTCACTCATTTGTTTCTTTCTTGCTCTTTCTTTCTAAGGCAGGAGCTCAAAGTCACTCATTGTTTAAGGTTAAAGAAAGAGGGTAATGTTAAATGTTAACATTCTAGAAGAAAGGAAAAAAGTTTATGTGCACTTCACTTATAATTGTTGCCTTCCTTGAACTAAGTTTCTTGTTTAGTGTATTGTTCTTTTGAGTACTTAGATATAAACTATCAAATCTGCTTCAGGACCTTGTTCCTAAAAGAGTCACTTAAAAAAAAAAAAAGATAGGTGATAGTACAACTCAGAAAAGTAACTATACTTAGCACCTTATGAAATAATAATCCATAATTAACTATATTGGAATTAAAATTTTAAAAATCTATGAAAAACAAAAAAAAATGAAATAATAGCTAATTTTTATCCTATTTTTCTGGTGTTACACAAATGGAAAGTGAGCATTCATTCCTCCCTTGCAGGCAGCTCTAGGGATGCCCCAGACCAATTAAATTACAGGTAGATTAAGAACATCCTTCTCAACTTTACCTCTTTATGCACCTTCCAACTGTCTACTGTCACATTGAAGAGAGCTTTGAGGGCCTCAATGGCACAGTCTGTCTCCTGAGGTGAGAGAGGAGGTCCATTATGGTCTATGGCCGATTCATATTCATCGGTCCACTTGATGCTAAAGGCACTTTCCAAGATCTGGGTCAGCAGCGGTAGTCCCTGGAGCTCATAGCGCAATTGTGATCTGATGTCGGTGTGCAAAAGTGATAGGAGGAAGAGCAAGCGCAAGTCAAAGCACTTAATGTCATTGATAAACTTTCGGTCCTTGCACTTTCTCAGGAGGTTACAGAGCTTTGCAGCAAGGTTAAGTTCCAGACTAAGCTGCTGTGCCATCTGACTGTTGAACACTATGTTACACAGACATTTTAATGACTCCACAATAACTGGGAACTCTGACACCTTCTCCAAAGAATCATCCGACTCATTTAGCTTGGCTAGTCGCAGCAGTATCTGCATATTTTCCTTGGTTGTTACAGGAACTAAAATCTTTTTGTCTCTGGAGAGAATGCGGAGAACTTCCAGGCAGGACACTTGACATGTTGTTGGGATGTCCTTTGCAAGGATTTTAAATATCCCCTCACAGAGTTTCTGAAAAACAAGAACAAGTATGCACAAATCATTATTTGGCTTAAATGATTTAAAACAGAGTAGTTCTCTTCCAATGTATGTAATATCAGTTAGATTCTGGCTAAAAAGGATTTTTACTTTTTTTTTTTTAAGTCACAGAATGTTAGAACTGAAAGAGATCTTATATTTGCTGCACTTCTTTCACTTATAGATATGAAAATTGAAGGCTAGAGAGGCCATAATGAATCAGTCAGGTCTTATATAACGTTGTTCTCAACAGATTTTTAATATCAGACTACATATAATATTAGGATGGAAGGCAATTAATCTGAATTATAGATAATGGACCCAAAGTGTACATATCTATCTTGCATTTTTAAAAAAGTAATTATTCCTATCATTGCTAAATTTAGGAACCTGGTGATTCTTTCAAAATTCAATGTCCAGCTTTCTTATCCATAGACTGTGGTCTGGGTCTCTCAAGCTCACACCTTATACGTGAAGCTAGCAGGTATAATAACTGTTCAACTGCTGACCACTTCTGTACCTGTTACACCTTATAAAAACAACAGCAACAACTAGGATTAACATCATATTTTACAAAGTTTGTATTAACCAATCATCAGACTTTAACTCTCTAAAAAGAGGCTATCTGTGGGTCGAGCATTATGATCTAGGCAAAAATCCCATGCTGTGTATACCGTCTCTGTACATCCTAGTTGTACAGGTATGGAAGTACCAACTTTAAAGGTATAGTTGATCCTTGAACAACATGGGTTTGAACTGCATGGATCCACTAGTGCATGGATTTTTTGGATAAATATAGTACAGTACTGTATTTTCCTTATGATGTTCCTAATAACACCTTTCTCTAGTTTATTTTATTGTAAAATAAAATATACAATAATATATAAGATAAAATATGTGTTAATTGACTATGTTGGTAAGCCTTCTTCTGGTTATAGTAGGCTATCAGTAGTTAAGTTTTTAAGGAGTTAAAAATTATACGCAGTTTTTTGACTGTGCTATAGGCTAGTGCCCCTAACCTCCATGTTGTTCAATGGTCAACTACACTATGTTTTCTAGATGGAAGTAGGAAGGAGATTAACATTACAAACTGAAAAAATTTTATAACAATGTCAACTCTATCCCTGCCATCTCTGATAACTACAAGGGACTTTCATTTAATCTTATTATCATCATTAAAACATTTAAAAAATGAACACAAGTTTGCGGGTAAATATAATGTGCCCATTATAAAAATATAAAAAACAGAAAGTTTTCTCCAATTTCTGATCTTTCACATCTAAGACAAAAAAAGACTCAAAAAACAAAAAACAAAACAAAACCACATTCTATATACTATTTTCAATGAAGTCTATTTCTGGGAGTGGAGTCAGATAACCTTTGCTCCCACATAACTTTACTCAGGAGAGAAATCATCTGTGTTACTGTTTAAGTTAAGAAACATGTAATAGGGCAGCCCAGGTGGCTCAGCGATTTAGCGCCACCTTCAGTCCAGGGTGTGATCCCGGAGACCCGGGATCGAGTCCCACATCAGGCTCCCTGCATTGGGCCTGCTTCTCCCTCTCTCTCTGTCTCTATGAATAAATAAATAAAATCTTAAAAAAAGAAACATGTAATAAATAAGGTATTATAAAATATTATATATGTGAATTTGGAGTTGTACGTATCTAATTAAAAAGACATCTTTACTTCCTTTCTAAACCAAAGATAACAACAGCAACAATAAAATCCCCCCAAATCTACAGACAGTATGGGTCCTTTCTTGCTCCACCTTCAGACTCAAGAAAGAAAAAGAGCAAAGCATGCATTACAAACAGGAGTAGACAAGGCTATAAATCAAAAGGATTGAAACTCTCAAACATAAGAGGCTACATGAACGAGATTAGAGAGTCTACAAAATTTAAACTTAAAAACTATCTCATCTCTAGGCTTTCTGGAGATCAACTGGCAAACAAAGACAAGAGTTCTAGCTTTAAAGCACCATTTTCAATCATAGTTGTTCTTAAACATGCCATTTCTCTTTATAGATGTGCCTTACATAATGACCATTAGGTAGATTTTTGCTATAATTGTAACATACCTTGAAAATTAAACCACTTTTTGGATAATGACCCTTTCCTTCCTGGCTTTTTTTTATTATAACTCAAAAAAAAAAATAAAGACATATTCAAAATATAACAAAAGTGATACTTATATACACTTATTGCTGTACTAAATATAATCATTTTTATTCAGAGAACATTATAAAGAGCAAATTAATAAATCATGTACATCTGGGTGAATCAGAGAAATTTTGTTTTGCCTAGGTACACCAAGCCAGAAAACTGAAGAGGGAGCATTCTACACTTTCTCCATCTGCTGAGTACATGCTCTACTTTTATGTTTCAAAGGTGCTCTTGTGTTTCACCTTTACTTTGCCCCAACAGCATTTTTCTGTGCTGTAACTATTTTTTTCAATTGATTTTACTCTTCCTAAAACATGTTCTCCTCTCTTCACTTTCCATAGCTCCTTCTTGCCCACAGAATGCAGTTGAAATGAGTCTACTGCTTCCTTTTCCATTGCTATCTCTGTCACCCACCATTCCCCTGATTTTTCAAGTGTTCCAAACTGACTCCCAGGCATCTGACCATTCGTCCTGAACCTCTCCCCTGCTGCTCCTTCCATGGCATGTCCAGCTACCATGTCCACCCGTCAGGAGCCCACTCTTTTTCTCAGGTTTAGTTTGAATACTGAGGGGGTTTATATGCTTCCCCAGTCACTCCATCTTTTGCTATTTGTGCTTCCAACAAGAAATTTTTGCTTTTTGTGGAGAGTAAGTTGTTAGGGCATTTCACTCCTTTTCCAGGCTCCTTGAGAACAGAAGCTATGTTTCATTTGTAGCCATGTGGCTGGCTCAGGTGTGCTATAACTATTTTTAAGTGCAAGATAACCACAAATTCCCAACCTTAAAACCTACCACCTGACTCTCCAGCATCTTCCAAAGAATGACTTCTTTGTATTTCTCCTCCACCAGCCACCACTTACTATCAAGTCTTTTCTTCTTTTTGCAAGTACAACAAACTGTCACTACATTATATGTTAGGTACAGACTGTTTTTATTTACTTTGAAAATATTTATTTATACAAACTTGTTTTCATTGTTCAACTGATACATATTTTAATTTGAAAATTATTTTGGTACATTAGATTATCATGGAACCCAATTTTTTCCATCAAAATTAATGGAAATAATTTCTGATTTAATAACTTTCACTTAGAGGTCTGGTTCTCTATAAAGAACTAAAATCATAAAGCTAAGACTAGGTATGCTTACAAAGTATAATGACTAATAATGAGTCTGAGATTAAAATGCTTTAAAATGCTCTTTTAAAATGCTCACTAGCTTAGCAAGTCATGGCTATTTCTATAAAGTTAGACTGCACACCCACCAGCATAAACTCAAGAGTAAGATCCCAAATGGTTCCTCAGTATTAATACTAGTACTGCCAAAAAAAGTTTGCTCCTAAACTGAAACCCTGGAATTTACTATAGCAGTGGGTTCTCAAACTTCATCATGCATCATAATAAGCTAAAGGGATTATTAAAACACATTGTTGAACTTTGCCCCCAGTAATTCTGATTCAGTAGGTCTTGAGTGAGGCTCCAGAATTGGGATATTTAACAAGTTCCTAATTGCTGCTTATGATTCAGGAGCCACACTCAGAACCACTGAACTATGGTTAACAATGGCCTCACGTAACTTGGATGTTAGAGGGTAGGGGTTAATTGAGAGCAATGCACCAGATAAGCATAGATAAGTAGGTAGAGTTGAAAGCCATTAGCCAATACTTTAACTTCTCCTTGACTGTCCTGATGATGTATAGGGTGGCAGGGATAGGAATGGGATGTCACTGTCTGGTCACATAACCTTAATTATCTTAAATATTAGAAACTACACCAGGTGTGAAATATATTACTTATTTAAGGTCAGTGGTCCTGGGCTTAAAACTTGTTCAACTTACCATAGACTCTAGAACCAGAGCAGTGTTGTGATTAAGGGCATAGGTTCTGGATTTAAATTTCTTGTATTCCAACCTTGGCTTGTCTACCATCTTCTAACAGTGAGACTGTGGCAAACCTGGCCTCCCTGGGCCTCATTTACTATAAGAGTTAAATGATAGCCACATGTATAGCACTTTGAATAGTGCCTGGCATGTGATAAGTGTTCAGTACAGGTTTTACATAGTATTATAAGATAAAATCTCAAAGGTAAGATCCTCCAATCTGCTTTCTCAGGTTTCTCTTTCATTGCTATGCCCCTATCAAACCCTCTTCTCTAGCTAAATTCCTTTCCAAATTATCTCACATTGAGCTCTTTTGCTTTCTTATTGCCTCCCTCTTTGTATCAGTTCTTCTTCCTCTTTGACTATTCAAGTTTTAAAGATTCTCCAAAGATAGCCTTAAAATTCACTTTTGATATAATTTTTTTTCTAACCACTTCAGCCCCCAATATTCTTCCTGTCCAAGAAATACCCAAACCACAATTTGTAGCAATCATTTGGTACTCAATACATTCTTCCTGTTAACTACTAAGAGCTCTCTGATGACAGAAAGCTTTTTTTTTTTTAAGACAAAAGAAAATATATACTGCAGTGCCTTTGAATCAGAAAGAGCTGGGTTTAATACCAGGCTTTGTTACTGTGTGATTCAGACATGCTATTTAACTTCTTTGAGCCTTGCTTTCTCATTTCTAAAATGGGAATAATATCACCTATAGTGGATAAGGCTATTGTGAAAGAGACTCTAGGATTGTAGTAAGTGCTCTATAAATGGTAATTATTATGTTTTATTTCTTCATGATCATTGTAGCCCTTAGCAGAGCAACTTGCACACAAGTTAGCACCTAAAATATAAATGGGCTAGATTAAGTTCTTCAAATCAAAAGAATTAGTAGAGATCCATTAATGTTGTCTTCTAAGAAGGAAAGAGCAGTAGTAAAGGCTATTCTTGTGAC